GTGGCGGATCTAGAGGGAGTTTGGGGGGTTTTAACATCCGCGGAGAGTGATCGAGGAGCCCCACTTATCAATTGCTTCTTTTATTAAAGTAAAAACTATCTCTAGTTACAGATAAGTTTAAACTTTAGTTTTATATTTAATTGTAAAAACTTCCACCAGAATTTGCCTGTATCAAACTAAGTGTGGAGACGCAGATGACTATGCAATGTACCTGTATTATGTATTGAAGAAAATCCTGCAATGTTGCATGCAAATGTTTTATGTCACAGGGATAAATATAAGATATTTTAATAATAGATCAAGCATTTCAGTTTTAATGGAATTTTTTGTGCTTGATTGCTGTTTGTAATCTTATTTTTCATTCCTTTTCTAATTTCTTTTTGAAAGGACCGATAAATTGGTTTGCGGCCGATTTTTGACGCTTGCGTCAATAGGTTTCTTGTGAGGTTTGTAATCTGACAAGGATCGATGAATAAACAAATGCATAGTATTTTTATCTTTAGGAATATTTTCAGACTAGTTTTGAATTGTTTATTTGATATGTATAATTTTAGGAAATTATACAATAATACAAATAAAAAATGAATTTACACTTTCTACAAGCGGTTTGAGTGTTTGGCGTACCCTCACATAAGATAAGAGAGAAACAAACGGCAACTCTGATATTGAGATCAATATGCATCTGTTACGTTTGACCCTTGGTTACAACCCAAATTTTGGTTCATAGGATTTACATGATTTATCACATTTATCCTGATTAATAATTAAAAATTATATCTTCTGAAATAAGTTGTCTTATTGTCATTTCGTTTATCCTTATTTGCATTTGATACTTGTGTTTTACCTCTTTCACATCTCAAACTTTAATAATTTTTTTATATACAAGATTATGTATTTCTTATCATTGGTATTCATGTCAATTTTTTTACCCTACATCATTGGTAAAGTGATTGTTTTAACAGAGTTACTGAAAAGCAGAAATCATAGTTATATATTTATAACTTTTTCTCTACATAATTTGTAATCATGTCTCATTGTTAATGATTGTTTTAAACAGATAAATTGAAAAGGACAACCATTTCCACTGGTATACGAGTAAAGAAAGACATTTTTTGGGTTAAATCTGTCATATGATAAAATACTACATTTAATACTTCCAGAAATATTAGTTGTCAAATTTGTCAAGATATATCTTTGTTATTGTAAGCAATACTCTAGTTCTCCAAAAACAAAAACTTGTGAAATAGCAAGTCTTATGAATTTTACTGTTCCGTTTACATAAAGTAAGAAAGCATAATATTTTATTCCACTCAAAAAATTGTGTTCTGGCACGAACATTTATTGCATGTTAATGAAGTTGTATTACTTAAAAAAAATTCTGTGTTGCTTTCAAGCTAGGTCACCCCATTTTGTATCACAAAGGTTTAAGACAAACTGTACTATATTATGTTGTTCATGTCCAATTATCTGGCTTATTCTTTTTCCATGTTGGCTCATATCATAACATAATTACAATAAGGCCGAGAAATTTTGATTTTGGTATCTGTTACATGTCACGTTATTATGTTAACATTAGGTCTCTGTGACCTATAAATAAGATATCTTGAAATATGGAAACTCCTGACTGGCTGAGGCCTAGTGCTGAATCCAGAAATTCTGAAAAAGGGGAACCAGTTTGAGGTCAGAGGAGGGGCCCACAGCCACAATTAAAACATTCATTTATCAAATATTGTGTATTTTTTGGACTCAAAAGGGAGGGGGCCTGGGGCCCCTTCCAAATCCGCCAGTGGGCTCATGACTAGAACATACTAGACCTACATTCATCAAACCGGGCCTGGGGGCATAAAACTTAGACAAGCTCACTTTTGATCTCAGTCTCACTTTTCCACTATATATTCCTTAAGTGAGACTGAGATAAAAAGTGAGCCCGTCAAAGTTTTATGTCAACCAGGCCTAGTCAATTACTGTTTCTTACGTTGAAGTGTTTAATATTGAAAGTATTTGATCTAAATAACAGTGAGCTTTAATCAAGGTGAAGTTTACATTACAAAGATGAAATTATAATATCCAACAACCTCATGAATATTGGAGTATCATTTTTAAAAATGTTGAATTGAAAAAAAACTACACATTATTCCTCATAATATTCTATATATATACAGCTATGTATGACAAATATATTTCTTTTGTGTTCTCTCACACATGAAGCCTCCGTCTAACAGTACTTTCAGTACTTTGATTTTATACAAGATATATCCGACGTATATAGCTGACAGTAAACAAGGAACTTATGCTACCACGCTAGTGACCTAGCTTTTCTAGTGATGCGGTAGAGTCTCTCTCCATTTCAGGCAAGTTAAGCAACGGCTAGCCTGTTTAACCTTTGGATGGGTGACCGTTCAAAAGCATGCATGGAAAGTAAGGAGATATATCATATAGGCCTATATCATCGCAATGCTACATGACATGCAAAATTAGGAGCTTTTCAGACAAACGTAATTATGTATACTTTGTGGTGTCAACATCATTCATTTAATGATTTGTTTGTATCTTTCATTAAACACCTTAAAGTTAAAGTGAAATTCTGTATCTTTGCAAACGTTCTTTAAGGATAATAATTTGAACAGCAAGTTAATAATTGCATTTTTACACAACGATTTCCGTCATTTCATTGATAATTAGCTGCAGATCTGTAGCTCTCTGGTTGAAAAAAATCGGATAGACAATCTCTGGTTTGTCTATCCGATTTTTTTCAACCAGAGAGTTACAGATCTGCAGCTAATTGATAATATAACACTATTAATATTATTTCTCATGAGTTGTCTTGGTACAGGTCCACTAAAAATAATAATGCTTCAATATTTTCCCATTCACATACGTTTAAAAAATACATGTCAGAACGTTTTCAAATCTTTCGACAGAAGTGTTTATAATATTATAAATACTTAGGCCCCTATAGCCCTCTGATTTTCCACAATCTAGCATTGTGAGGAAAAAACAGGTTATGTTCACCTGCATGTGATTTTCCTGGTGAAAATACGAACATTAACTTCCTGATTAAAATATTTTGGAAATGTATTTTTTGCACTCGATTTACATTCAGGTGAACATATACATGTATTGTGATTACAATCATGCACATAAAAACAAATCCGGGGGGTTGCATCGGTGCCCCTCTCCGCATTTTTTTCTGAATGTAAATTTTCACTGTTAACATTAGCATGCAATGATGCCCGGGGTGGGGGGTTAGAATAACTTGACAAGCAATTAGATATATAATGTAGGTGTGCATGTCAAGAAGTACTTTTCAGAACTTACAAAATTTTGTAAAAAGATATACATGTATGTATTTATTTTTATGCTTTATTACATGTATTCTTGTAACTTTTTTGGTGGTGGGAGGGGTGGTGGTGGTTACAACAGTATTAACAAGTTATCGATCTTTTCAACACATAACAAAAAAGAGAATGTCGGATATATGTCTTTTCAAATAATGTAGCTTTGTTAGCTGAACTAGTATCTTTTTTTCTTCCAAGAGGTTTTGGGTCTACAATAAATGAAAAAAATACCCCGGATTTAGATCTGGTATTGGTGTGGTTTAACAATTCTGTCATTCAGTTTTGATCAAGGTGTTAATTCCTGTGCAGTTTTCTTGACATGTGATTAAGTCCAATCAATTTTCGCCAAGACTTCGGATTAAAAAAAAATCAAACTACTCTTCCTTCCTTTTTAAAAATATTTTTACAGTTTAATCATTGCATGTAATTATTTTTGTCGTTGTTGAATAAGAAAGAGTCGTAAATCTGAATTTTAAACAACAGTTGAATGACTTTTATTTAGTAAAAATGAAAACCTATATTTTATATGGAACAGAATATATAATTGTCGAAGTGTTGACAAATTTTATGTACTTTTAAGTCGTTTTAATGTGTAATGCACATGTAGTTTAACAACAATCAGAGACAGATATGTTAGGAAATAGACAATAGCCATGAAAGAAAATATACAGAAAGCACAACGGAGAAAATTCTGTGATGAAAAACAAAGCATGTAGTTGGAACGCAGTCAGTGCGCGATATATTTTGATTGCAGTTTTTGTTGCAAAACAATGACGTCGCTTTTTCTATTGTGACGTAAAATTCTAGCAGATTACATAAGGGGGGTTTTTGCTTGGAACGGCTCAAATTATATATACTCACAGTCAACAGAAACGCAACACCCTAATTTTAGGGTGAAAATTATATACGGCTTAACTATGTACAAAAAAAGTCAGGACATCTTTTACTTTGCCAAATCAGTTATTTAACGGTTGAATTTCTTTCCATTACCGGAAGTTGCTTTTTAGCCCTCTTAACAGAAATCAAAATTTTGCATTTTTAATAGAATTTATAACAATATTTTGGATTTTCAAGGTTTTGAAGCTGTTAATCATAAGTATTGTACTAAAATCCCGGAAAAAATCCTTCTCTCTAAACCGGATGTGATGCCCCCTGTCTTTTTCTCTTCCGGCTGATCAGTGTGGGTAGACCTAGGACGGAGTTTTCTTGTGGAGGTGGGTGAATTTCAGCCTGATAGTGCGGACGGAATTAGTAACAGAGGATTTACGAGGTTGGGGGATGGAAAAGAAGCCGTCGGAGAGGACACAGAGGGGTTTGTGCAGATGAAATTGGAGAGTGGGTGATAGATGACGAGGGTGGAGCTGTGTTAGAAGACAAAGATAGCACTGGGCAGATAGGAGTTGATGAGATGGTTGAAGGAGAAAGTGAAGATTCAGAATTGGAATGCACATTCAGACTGCTCTGTTGAAGCACACCAGTCAAAGCCTAAAGTTCATTTTAACATTTACCTATTTTTATTTATTTGTATTAAAGCACGTGCACCTTAATTCAAATTAAAAAATATTACAATAAATTACCTCATTAAATGATGGCGTTGAGAAATTGAAGATTTTATGAGGGCATATTGCCCGAAATGAAATATTGATTATATGAAGAAACATTGTCAGACAGTTTGACAAATCTCTGAAGTATGTTACATTTAATATTCAAAGTAGGAACGTTGATTCGGTGTCGCGATCGTGTGTGAACAATGCATTAGATCACATCATGAGGAGTCAGACACTCTGTCAAAAGTCAGCAAAGAAAAAAGCCACAGATGAGACGAAGTTTACAGGTGTGTATTTTTCAAATGTTTTTGATGCAGAATTCAGAATCTATGTTTAAAGATGAAATAATATTTTAAAAAATTCTTTAAAGAAATATCTTGACATTTACACTGGAGAAAAATTGAAGGCCCAATGTGTTAGATAAATATCATGTATACTAGTATATTCCTGAATGATTAATCGAACCTCAGTGTAGTATTTATTACTTTTTTAACAGCCAAAGATCAGTTATACAATGACCTGGTGGATCTTTTTAAGCAGAAAGATTGTTTTTTCCCAAACTCCATGAGTGACTTGGATGTTATGAAGAATGTGAACACTTTGGTGAATGCGCTGTGGCTCATCGACAATGACAATTTGAAAAAACTTCAAAAGAAACTTGCTGCACGTAGTAACAACAATCAGGAAACTGAAATAAGGTATTTTTCAAGCTGAAAAAATAGTTACACCTTCAACCTCAATATCAAATGAATTTATTTGTACTATATTTTGACTTACTGTATAACATATTTTTTAATGCAGGCTCTTGAGTTTTTGTGGTTATCATGACTTCAAGAAAGTAAAGAAAAAAGCACCAAGACTGTCGGCAACTGAATTAAAGTCACATAGCACTGCTCTATTCCAGTTGATATCTCTGCCATTTATGAGTAAGTGGAATGAAATGAAAGATGATATTCTTGAATTGGCAAAGTGTTTTAACATTTATGCAGACCAGTTAGATAAGGCAAATGAAGAACAGCAATGTCGACGAAACCTTGAATATCCTGTACGAGAAATATCCAAGGATGCCTTTCTCTACTATGTTCCACAGACACAAAGAGTAGGGCCCAAGTATACAATCCTTGACACTTGTTTGGCAAAAATGAACCATTATGAATATGTATTCTTTGATGAAGTAATTCATGTGGAGGAACCATTCAGAACAAATTTTGATAGATTTGACTTTCTTCAGAAGATTGCTCTGTCAGTGCCGATTAGTGTGCTCAAGTATAATCCTGGTGGATCTGTTGGGGCCTCTGTTTTTATATGGCGAGTTCCAACTGACAGAAGTGTACAGGAAATTATTAATGAGGGATCAAGAACTATTGAGAATCTAAAACCACGTCTTCTTGAGTACCATACCAGACGTATGAAGTCAGATTTCACTCGTAAATACGGTGGATTACATGCTTGTCAAACACCGAAACATATACTAAGATCTATTTACAAAGAACTGACCCATGATGCCTCTGTCGATCAAAATCCTTCCATTGAATACAGAATCCAAGAAGCTATATCATCTGAAGACCCAGACCTGGTGATAGATTTACGTCACTTAAATACTGGGAGGCCAGGAGATACTTTTCAGGTTTTCTTTGATCTCCTTAGAGCAAAGGTAGAAGAACAGTGTGCTGCCGATGAGAGAAGACACAATATAAAGCATGTTGCGAGGTACATTCTATTAGTGATCTCATAAGGGATGTTAGTGCTGATTTACCGACAGGAACCCCAATTCCAAGTGAATCGACGGTCTTATTTTCTTTTGCACCCAAAAATGCTTACATTAGAACAGCACTGCTGTACAAATCTGTAATTCCTCTGCAATTTAAAGTTCAGACACGGCAGTTGAGACTTTCTCACCAGGATGAACACTACTGTGCATCACAGTACAAATACATGAGACATTTTGCAAATATGTTTAAAGAAAATGTGACTTTTCTAAGCATAGATGATAAATCAAAAATTGATATTGGAGAGCCTGGGCAGTACATTTCATCAGGTGTAAGGGGGAAGAAAAGTTTGGTTCCATCTACTTCCCAGCTGTCTGCAATGGATCATGATGTCTCCAGTCTCCATTACTCCATCCGTAATCATGAATGTGGCATTACCAGAGGATAAGTGTCAGTAATATTCAAAGATTCAATTTTCCAGGCTAGCAGCCCATTCAGACATGCAGCCGAGATGCAAAAGATGTTACTGGATGAATTGCCAGTTAAGCCTGTCCTGATGATTTACTCTGATGGGGGACCTGACCATCGACTCACGTACCATTCTGTAAAACACTCACTGATTGTGTTGTTCAGGAATTTGAATCTAGACATGCTGATTGCTGGAAGAACAGCACCGGGACATTCATGGGCAAACCCAGTAGAAAGGATAATGTCAGTACTGAATTTATCTATTCAGAATATGTCACTTGCTAGGAAAGAATGTGATGGCAATACAGAGCAAGTCCTAAAAAGTGCTAACACTATGGCTGAAATTAGAAAAAAATCTGAAAAAGTGCCTGGTTTAAGAGAGCAGTGGTTGGATTCTCTTGATGAAATCATGAGCATGCTCCAAAATCGCACGCGTCGACTTACACTAAAAGGAGTGCCTTTTAAGTGCCCAAATGCTGCTACAGATGAGGCTGTAAAGTCAATGGAAGAACAGATACAGCAGCTTATTGACAATACCATTGAGTCTGGGCAGTACCAGCAAAAACACTTGACCAACAAGCAGGGTAAATAGCTTTTTTCATTTAATAAAATTTCAAGTTCAATGTTTTGACTTTTTTTATTTTAATCTGATGTATTTATTTCAGAATATCAAAAATTCCTACAGAACCATTGTCAACAGCGACAGTATACTTTCCAAATTCGTAAATGTAAAGACCCTGATTGCTGTTCTCCAATGCAGTTGCCAGACCTGCCATGGCTACCTGATCCTATCCAGACTGCTGACAAGTTGCACTACAAGCCATTGACTGAAGTGTTGGGTCAACAAACAACAGACAGTGACCGGCCCTCGGCAAAGAATTCTACAGCAGCTTCAGTTGCAGAAGTAATTTGTAATGGTTTTGAAAACTTAAGATGTCTTAAAATTTTTAAGCATTTTTTATTTCTTTGTAGGTGATGTTCTTCATGGAAAAGTATTCATTCGTATGCAGCTAAACTGCACTATGCATATGGAGTTTTCCTACTATGCTGAAGCAGCCAAAGGCACAAGAAAAGATCTTTGCTGCTACTGTGCCTGTGCTGATGTTCAGAGGGACCAAGATCTACAAAAGAAATTCCGTGTGGTTCTTCCAGTCTGTGTGCAGTGTTGTGGCAAAGGCCTGCAGATTCCAAGGAGAAATCCTTTGAAATAGACTGGCACATGAAATTAAATTTAAATCCAAAAAAAAAAACCAAGTTTAAAATTTGACTTTAGATTTATTAAACATTTGCTTTCTTGGTTTGATATATTGAGTATTCTCTTTGTACTTTTATTTCAAAATTTAGAGGAAAAAGAGACAGAAAAAAAATAAAAGAAATTAAACATGACTGTTTTTATAATTATAATTTAATAGTTCAATTTGAAAAAAAAAATATCCCTCCCTCCCTCCTGGGTCTGAAAACCCCCAGGCGGCAATTCCAAACAAATATTTTTTTAAGGGTGGCCTTATCTACACCCCATGTCTCTTTATATCTTGGTAAGGGGGGATTTCCTCTTAAAATACCTCTCATTAGAAGTTTTACCATGGAATGCTGACCAATGGGCAAATTATTGACATGAGGCATCACAGAGGAAAGAGCAGATCTGTGAACATTTATTGTTCTATATTGAAACCCCTCATAACACAGATAGCTTAAAAAATCTAACACAAAGTTTATAAGGGCTGAAAATGGATCGACCTTCCTTCTGACACACCAGCTTACCCACTTTTTCCAGGCTGAATTGTAAGAAGATGTGCCCTTTCCCCATGAGTTACAGATGAGATCTTCAGTCTCTTGCGATAAGTGCATTGTTTGCATGGATCTCCTGAGACAACCCATCTGACTAACTGGAGTGAGTTGTTTCTCATTAGTGGGTGAGGTTCTCCCTTGTCTGACATTAGGAGATTAGGAATTATTGGGAGGAGAATGGGATCCTGAATGCACATCTTCAGAATTGTTGCATACCATGGTTGGGCTGACCATGCTGGGGTTACTAGGAGAATCGTTGCTTTTTCCCTCTGAATCTTGCTCAGACATTGAGAAATGAGACAAAACGGGGGAAATGCATACCTGCTCAGACATTGAGAAATGAGACAAAACGGGGGAAATGCATACCCCTTTATTCCCACCCAGGGATGCAACAGTGCATTGTGTGCCATTGCTTCTGGATCTGGCATCCAAATGATGAACTTGTCTAGTTTGGCATTGATTCTGTTTGCTACAGATCTACTTTGCAATCTATTGTTTTGTTCATTAGAATTTGAACTATGTATGGATCTAACCCCAAACTGCTTGAGTCCTTGTGATGTCTGGACTCCTAGTCTGCTATGACATTTTCCTTTCCCGCTCTCATTGAGATACTCTTTTTCAGACACCATTCCCAGAGATCTAATGCTAACTGATTGCACACCTTGGATACTGTTCCACCCATTTTGTTGATGCAAGTCATTGCTGTTTTGTTGTCTGTTTGAATAAGAACAACCATGTTTGTTTCTTGTTTCAGAAATGCCTTTACTGCATGTGTTATTGGTAAAAGCTCTAGAACATTTATGTGATAATGAATCTCGCTTTGTAACCATGCACCCCCTATTCTGACATTTTTGCAAGTTGCCCCCCAACCTAGATTGCTTGCATCTGTCTGTATAACTACTGATGGCTGATTCATTACAATACTCTTCCCATTTGTGTCGTTTAAATGGTGAATCCACCATAGTAGATCTCTCTGGGCTTCTAGAGTTAACAAGACTTGAGCATTGTAATCTTGATATTGACTGAAAATTTGGTTCTTTGCCATTTGTAGATGGCGATAATGTAATGGGGCTGGGTATACTGCTTGAATGCTTGCTGTGAGATTTCCTATCACTTCTGACAATTTCCTTACTGAAACAGGATTTGAACTGAAAACCTCTTGACAAATTGTTCTTATCTTCTTTGTCTTCTCTAATGGTAAGGAGAGTGTCATTATACTGGAGTCTATCTTGAATCCCAGATATTCTAGAACTTGGGAAGGGACTAAATTTGATTTCTTGAAATTTATCAGAAACCCTAAACTTTCTAGCAAATTGACTGCTCTTTCGCCATCTTTCAATGCCCCCTCCTTGGTCTGATTCATGATCAGAATATCGTCCAGGAAAATCACTAATCTCATCCCTAACCTTCAAAGGTAACTCATGGGAACTTTCATTAATTTGGTGAAAACCCAAGGGGCTACTGTTATCCCAAATGGAAGACAAAGGAATTGATACACTTTCCCTTTCCAAATAAATCTGAGATAATTTTCATCTTCTTTTATAATTGGATTTGTGAAATAAACATCTTTCAGGTCTATTTTTATAAGCCAGTCCCCTTTTTGAATCATATCTCGTACTAGATTGATTCCCTCCATTTTGAAATGTCTATATATCATGTAACCATTTAATTCTTTCAGGTTTATTACAGGTCTGTAATGTATGTTCTAATTTTATTAAGAGTTACTGTTCTTGAAAATAAGCTCTCCTGTAATTGAAGGTAATTAAATCAGTTCTTAACCCACAATGGTGTTTTGAATACACTGCATGGTGTCAGAAGCGGTTGATATCTCCCCTTTTCCATCGCCATCTGCAGAAATAAGTGCTGCAGTTATACAGAAGAGGATTCGAGGATTGTGATGGATACGATGCATTCAGCTGTCACGCCGAAATTTAACTGGGAGGCCCAGGATCTCGTTGAGGAATGGCGCACGTTTATACAACACGTGGAATTCTGGAGAAAGGGCCCATTGAGCAAAAATAAGGAAGAGGAACATTGTAATTACCTGATGATATGGATTGGCGAGAAGGGAAGAGATATCTATTCAACGTGGAACCTTTCAGAGGAAGATAGTAAGAAATTCTCAGTGATAAAGGAGAAATTTGAAAACCACGTGAAACCGAAGTCGAATCGTGTTTATTCGAGATACAAGTTCCTCAGTAGGACACAGAAGGAGGGAGAAAGTTTGAAAAATTTCTGACAGATCTCAGACTTTTAGTGAAAGAATGCGGATATAAGGATCAGGACGATATGATTCGAGACGCCATCGTGTTCGGTACCCGGGATCACAAGGTACGTGAAAAATGCATTGGTGAAGGTTCGGACTTGACCCTGGAGAAAGCTTTGAACTTTGCGCGTACATGTGAAATTTCTAAGCAGCAAATACAGACTATGGAAGACAAATCGGTGCATGGAATATCGAAAGGTAGGACTCCCCCAAACCGGAAGTCAGCACCAACTAAAAGCGAAAGTGAAAGTAAGAAATCGATGGTGAAAGACTGTAAATATTGTGGCCAAACTCATGAGTTTAAGCGATGTCCTGCATATGGTGAAACATGTAGAAAGTGTGGAAATCCAAACCACTTTGCAGTTAAGTGTCACTCAGGAAAAAAGCGTGCTGTCGCTAGTTCAAAGAAAAACAATAGATCAAAGACTATGCATGCAGTAGACACATCAGATGAAGAATTCTTTATTGTTTCAGTGAATGTTAATGGTGAAAGTCATGATGTAGAATGGTATGAAACAGTGAAGGTGAAGGACACTAATATTCACTTCCAACTTGACACCGGAGCAAAGTGTAATGTTTTGTCATCAGCTGATCTCAAGAAAATGGACCAAAATTTGAAAGTTACACAAACGTTTTCACCACAGAAGTCGTTCTCTGGACACTACATTCGTTGTTCTGGTACTGTTATACTACCCTGTGTATGGAAGGGTGCAATGCTTCCATATGTGAAATTCTACATTATTGACCAAACTGTGAACCCTGTTCTGGGAGCTGACACATGTTCCAAGCTAGGACTCGTTCAGCGAATACACAGCATTGAGAGGAAAAACCGTACTGTACTGCGTGGCATTCCCTAGGATTATCAGAACTTATTCAGTGGACTTGGATGCTTACCAGGCACATACTCAATCAAGGTGGATGAAAACATTCAGCCAGTGATACATCCTCCACGCAAGATTCCCATAGCCTTGAGGGACAAGGTCAAGGAAGAGCTCGACAGAATGGAGCGTGAAGGAGTGATTGTGAAGCAACGCGAGCCGACGAAATGGGTCAACTCCATGGTATACGTAACTGTTACGAAGCCAAATGGAAAGATCAGGATTTGCATTGATCCTCGTGACCTTAACCGTGCCATACTGCGGGAACATTTTCCCTTAAAAACTGTTGAAGAAGTTGCAGCCAGGATGCCTGGAGCCAAGATTTTCAGCAAATTAGATGCCACCTCTGGATTTTGGCAGACCAAACTAGATGACGAGAGTTCAAAACTCTGCACATTTAATTCGCCGTTTGGACGTTATCGATTCACTCGAATGCCCTTTGGAATCAAGTCTGCACCTGAAGTGTTTCAACGTGCCATATCTGAAATGATTCAGGATCTAGATGGAACAGGCGATTATTGATTATATCATTGTATGGGGAACCACAGAAGCTGAACATGACAAACGTTTGAAAGCCTTACTGGATCGAGCAAGACAACATAACTTGAAGCTCAGCGTGGACAAGTGTGAGATCAGACGCTCAGAGCTGACGTATGTGGGACACAGATTTACTGACTTGGGTCTGAAACCCGATCCAGAAAAAGTCCGTGCTGTACAGGAAATGGACTGTCCCAATAATGTGAAAGACTTACAAACATTTATGGGCTTTGTTCAATACTTAGGGAAGTTTATGCCCAATCTATCAGAAGCTGGCAGTTCATTACGACAGCTACTGGAGAAAAATACTCTATGGAAATGGGAAAGTGAACAGGAAGAAAGCTACGAGAAATTGAAACGCATGACTACTAGTGCACCGATCCTTCATCAGTACTTTGATCCAAACAAGCCAGTGATGTTGTCCGTAGATGCCAGTTCTAAAGGACTAGGTGCAGTGTTGATTCAGGAAGATAAGCCAGTTGCGTACGGATCACGCGCACTGACCGAAACACAACAACGATATTCTCAGATTGAGAAAGAAACTCTGGCTATTCTCTGTGGATGTACAAAATTCCATGATTACGTATATGGTCACAGTGTTCTGGTTGAATCGGACCATAAGCCTTTGGAAAGTATCTTCAAGAAACCTGTTCTATCTTCACCTCCAAGACTACAAAGATTCGTGTTAGCGCTTGAAAAGTATGACATTCAAGTAGTTTACAAACCTGGAAAGAAAATGTTCTTGGCTGATCATCTGAGTCGCTCCTATCTGAAAGAGATTAAGGAAGCCCTCGTACCAGATCTACAAGTGAACGAAATACACCTTACTTCATACTTACCTGTGTCACAAGAAGTACAGGACAGGATCCGGAAGGAAACCGGTCAAGATGACGAGTTACGGCAACTCTTGGACACTATCTTGGATGGATGGCCAAACAACAAAGCAGACCTAGCACCGGAAATTAGAGCCTACTGGAATTTCCGTGATGAACTTTCATGCATTGATGGTATTCTCTACAAGTCTCACAAACTGATTGTCCCAAAGTCGATGCAGAATGAAATGCTGGAGAAGCTACATATTGGACACCAAGGGATTGTGAAGACCAAAAACCGAGCGAGAGACATTCTGTTTTGGAACGGTATGGGAAAAGACATAGTGAACCTCGTGAGCGCATGTGCAACTTGTGCCAAATATCAGGCTGCTAATCCTAAGGAACCAGTGATCCCAAGCGAACTTCCATCAAGACCGTGGTCAAAGATTGGAATAGATCTGTTTGAACTTAGTGGAAACCATTACTTCCTGGTAGTTGATTATTTATCAAAGTGGCCCGAACTTGCCAAACTGGAGTCGCTCACCTCTAAGTGTGTGATCACTCATTTGAAAAGCATGATTTCCAAATATGGAGTTCCGGATATCATAATTACTGATAATGGACCACAATTTAGTAGTTATGAGTTCAAGGAGTTTGTGAAATCATATTACATCAACCAGTCCGTACCATGCTCAGAGTAATGGACAGACAGAGCGAATGGTTCAGACCATGAAACGTCTTATTACCAAATCTCAAGATCCATACTTAGCTCTTTTGGAGTATCGGAACACCAAGATTGATGGTATTGATATGTCACCTGCTCAGCTATTTTTAGGACGCAGACTGAAGTCTATCTTACCTACAGCAATCCCTCTACTGAAATCTTGGGTAGATGACAACACATTGGTCAAGATGAAATGTCGACAGGAAAAACAGGAGGAGAACTTTAACAGACATGCTAAGAAGGAACCACTTAAACCTCTCAAGGCAGGAGACTCCGTAATGATGCAGAGCCAATCAGGACAATGGACAAGCGGATTCGTTAAAGACTTACACCCTACAAAACGTTCGTATGTCATCGAGAGCAAAGGACGATGCTACAAACGTAACCGCAAATTCCTGAGACCTACTCGTGTCCGAGGTAACTCAGTCTCCAGAGATGATGTCCCTGTGTATACCGATGCGACGTTGCCTTCTAAGACCACTCAGAATGATATATCAGCAGCTTCAGATGTGCAACCAAATACCGTCACCGAGACAGCTAGATCTGACGTCGAACCACCAGCCGAAAACCCTGCGTATGTTACTCGTAGTGGCCGCTGTGTTAAACTCCCTGCGCGATACCGAGAATGAACACTGTTAATCTTAACTGAACACTGAATTAATATTTCATCAAATTTATTTTGTGTTACAGTTAATAATGAACTTTAATTATCTAGTAAATCTTATGTCCATGGAAGTATCAAATTTTGTAAGGGGAAGGATGTAATGTATGTTCTAATTTTATTAAGAGTTTCTGTTCTTGAAAATAAGCTCTCCTGTAATTGAAGGTAATTAAATCAGTTCTTAACCCACAATGGTGTTGTGAATACACTACAAGGTCTTTGCCCCCCTCCCTTTTTCTCTACAAGAAATATGGGGCTTATGAACCCGTCCAATGTGTCTTCCACTTGCAAAATTGCCCTCTTTTCTAACATGTTGAGAATTTCTTGGTTCACCAATGCATTCTTTTCCTTGGAAAATCCCTTGAAATGAGGAAGATTCACTTGAACAGGAGGATTTTGAGAAAATCCTAGTTTTAAGCCTAGCACTGTTTCTAGAACCCAGCAATCTTTTGACAGATTTTCCCAGTCTTGAAGGAAATATTTCAACCTCCCCCCCACAGGGATATTCTTGAGATTTTCTG